AGAAGAAGACCCCTGGGTCAGAACCGTCACAGAACAAACAGCAGATCAGTATTTACTGTTTAACCACCCACTGGAGAATAAGCTGAAGGTTGTCAGAACTGGGTCTTTGTCAGAACCACCAACACCGTTTCTGCTGCAGGATCAGAACCACAACCACAACATCTCTGTGCACTTCAATGCAGACAGAAAGGAAGAACCAGGACTCCACTGTGATGAACACTGGGCCACACTCTGACTCAGAGGAAACATCTTCAGTAAACTCAAAGCCAGTCCAGCTGCATAAACGTGACCTGAAGTGTGTTAGTGATTTGTCTGATTGTGCTCTGGCCGGAGCTGTCGGACCTGGAAGGCTGGATGAGCTGGATCCTGACTTGATGGAGGAAGAAGAAAGGGAAGACCAGTCGTAGGCCGCCTCCGACCTCCTCATCGCCTCCTGGAAGTTGATGTAGAGCTGCTTCCCGTACTGAGGGACAGAAGGACCAGAGGTTATCAGGTGACAGAAAGAGGATGTTTCTACCTACAGCAGCAGCAGACAGGAGGATCTGGAAGGTAAACATCATACCTAAAGCATCTGCTGACATGCTCGCTATGCTTCAATATTTACCTTTTCAACACAACTGGAGCTGCTGCATCTTCTGTTCTCTGTCAAACACCAGACTACTGACAAAAATCTATTTACTAGCTCACAACACAGGAGTTGTTCTACTGCTGCCTGATCAGTTAGTTTGGATTTGGGTTAGCAAATGATCTGCTTCAGTCCTGTTTCAGAGGCTGCTGGAGGTGACGTAGAGGTAGACGGATGATTGTGTGTATTTTATAAACGGATTCCCTGTAAAATACATTCATTTACAGCTGGTTCGTCTTCACTGTGTCCCACCGGCAGCACCGTCTGAATGATGAGGGGAAATGTTCAGCACTTCTCTACCTGCTCATTATATCTGACACGGCGACTTCTTAAAAAATGTTCTATTGTTCTTTAAAGAATTGCTCTTTTCATATTGTCTTGTTAAAAACGGTCACTTTGCATTTCATCGCACAAATAAAAACTGTCGAACCTTTGATGTAAAACACAAAGTTGTTGTAGATTTTCAACCTACTCTCCGCTGTGTCCTATCATTCAGTCTCCCTAATAACTAATAATCAGCATCACACCATCGCTCAGCCTCTGACGTAAAGTGCTCCAAATATAAAGTACACTTAGAGGGATATCGATTTCTTACGGAGGCTAAAGTACATTTAATGCAGCTCCTCCCGTCTGCATCCCAAAGACACTGAACGTTAAACACCGTTGGGCTGAAACAGCACGTTGGACGTTTTTGACAGTTTAAATAAAGGTTGTTCAAACAAGACGTCTGTCCTCAGGGTTATTTAGTGCAGCTCTAAAACCTGGAACTGTCGCCTTTAAAGCTTCATTTAATCATGAACATGTTGCACTGAGGTACTTTAGTAAAGAACTCAGCTTGATGTTTAACACTTCATGTCACATGTTGATTTGAACGACGGCCAGTCAGACACCTGAATGTTTTCTATAATTCACTGTTAGTTTTGCCGTTTGTTTTCACTGAACTGTGACTTTTCTCTCTGAGCGCGCGCTAGTTAGCACGTGAAGCTAACCGCCGAGGACGCCGTTACCTTGGCGATGCGGATGCTGTTGATCCACTGCTGCAGGGTTCTGACGTCGTCGCAGCACAGGTACTTGATGTACTGCGACTTCTTCTGGATCTGAGGGTGCTGCACACACACACACACACACACACACACACACACACACACACACACAGTGAGAACACCGCAGCGTGTTCAGAACCAGAAGTGTGTGTTCTGTTTCTGACCACTAGATGTCAGCAGGAGGTCGTCATCTCCGTCAGTACCTTCAGCACCATGCAGTAGTCGGTCGGAGCCTTGTACTTGCTCTTGTAGTCCTGGCCAAGGTAGACGTTAACGTGATCCAGCTGGAGGAAACACACCAGGTCTCTGGACGCCTGCACACACACACACACACACCGGATCAGTTATCTCTGTCGGGCTTTACATCAAAAACACACTCTGCTCTCGGCCGCTCACCTTGGCTTTGCCCTTCGGGACGTAGTAGATGCCAGAAGCCCTCAGCAGGAAGTAGCGCTTCTTCCACGACTTCTTCCCGTCCTCTTTGAGCCACAGCACTCCCTCCATCTCGGGGACGGACACCGAGCTGCCCCCGAAGCACTCCTGAGACACGAGCAGAGCCTGAATCAGCCCGGAGGTAAAACCCGACAGACTCTCTGAAGTCTGAGTCGCTCCATCGTCTCTTTGGTCAGATGGAGGCGACAGGAGAAGTGTGTGTGCACAGATGTCAACGCCGGCTGCCAGGACTTTGAACATTCTGTGTAAAGATGCATCTGAGGCGGCAGGTTTGACATTTAATGACGGAGTTCGACCATCTAGACTTAAAGCGATGGACAGGATTTAGATTTCTAAAACTGTATTCAGTTGGGACTGGTCATCATATGAGCTGCAGACAAATGTCATTAGTGAATGTGCATGAGGCTGATGGTTGCTAAGCGCTGGAACAGTGAACAGGAGGAGCTCATCAGGAGGAGTTAGTGGAGAACCAGAGCTTTGTTTGTCAGAGATTTGTGGTTAAATTCACTAGAATTTGGTCTTGATTTGCTCTGACTTGGAGGTAAAACAGCTGAAATATGCGGTTACTGTAGTGTGTTTAGAAATCAAGACGCCTCTTTCCTGTTGTAGCTTCTATTTACAGAAATCTGCAGCGTCACAGCTCTAAGTCAACATTTCTAAAATTACGTTTTGAGGCAGAACTTCAGAGGTTCTACAAAACCATTCTGATCGGTTTAAACTTCATGTCAGAATCTACAACAGACAATTTAGATCTGTTGAACTGAGTTAAAGAGATCGTAAAGTGTGACCAGCCACAGTTCAGTTGTAAATATGTGAAACTGGACCTGACGTGAAGTCACTGGTCCTGAAGAAAGACGCTGTGGATCTGAAATGTCCTTTATAACTGGGAGGAGCTGAGTCATGGATCTGAGGTTCTCCGTAACAGTAAACAGAACAAACTCACCTCTAACAGCGCCTCTTTGTTCCGCTCAGCCATCTCACACGTCTCCTTCCGCCCCAGCAAATAGTTCTGCAGCAGACAGGAAGCCGATTGGTCAGTACCGTGAGAGCTCACCTGTGCAGAGAGCAGGCGGCTGGGTCGCGTCTCACCTGTGGGTTCTTGAACAGAGCGTACTTCTCGATGCGCTCGGTGAACATGAGGCGGTTCTGGCTGTCTCTGGTCCAGTTCAGCAAGTTCTCCACCAGGTTCTCGTGGTCCTCGAAGATCCGCTCTGCACACGATCCAACAGAAAACCACGTCAATGAGAAACTACGGAACAGTGTTCATCTGTCAGTGTTTCCTCTCCAACCTGCTTGTTGTTGATCTTATTGATTGTTGATCTTTGGTCTCTACATTTCTAACTTCAATAGATGGAGTCAGTGTCCTTCAAACAAAACTTCTCCAAGTTTTAGTTAAAGCCCTGCTGCTAATTTTGCTAAATAATTTACTGAGACTACAGCTAAAAGGTTTCAGTTTCTCTGTAAACACTTCAGGCACCCACTAGTGGTTCATCAGAGACCAGAACCGCCTCGTCATCCTGCAGCTTCATCACATCTGAAGCTGAGCACATGTTTCTGACTCTCACTGCAGAGTTTCCCATTTCTGTGATTTGCTCTTTTAGACGATGTTCCTGCAGGAACCTCATAACCTCGTTCCCGTCAGCGGAGCAGCGTGGCTCGTGGCGTCCGCTGCCCTCGTTTCCTCTGATTCGCTGTGAACTCGGGCTTCTTTCCTCTGAGGACTGAAACGGACACAAACCTCGTCTGCTCGCTCTGTGGACGTTGAATCCAGGTTAACTAAACGGCTGCTGAACGCTGTTTTATTCAGCATCTCTTGACTTGTAAAATCACTTCTATCACACTGAAGCAGGAGCTTCATGAACAATGAGCCTCCATCACATTGAACGCTGATTAAATCCATCAGCTGCAGGTGAACCTCTGCAGAGTTTTAAATCTGGTTTCTGTGGCAACGTCGCTGCAGCATCGAGTGAAGGAAGAAGCTCCAGCAGATGGGAGTCCAGAGGAAGAAGCTTCCACATAGAAAAGGAGCTCCACAGAAAGGATGATGTTACTACAGTGAAAAAGAGAGCGACCGACTATCTCTGTTGAGAGCGATGAGAGAGATTCTGGTTGGAATGTGTAAAACATTTGGAGGGATCACTGTAGTTATTTACTGAACCTGTTTTGAGCTTCAAAACATGGATCCCAGAGACCGCTGAGCTCCATCCACCCTGGAGGTGGTCGAACCGTTGTGGGGAGAGTAAGTGTAAATATCACAGAAACCATTTAGTTTCTCATCCAAGCACCAACGCCGGCCCATGAGTCCGTTTTAACAAAAGAAGGTAAGCAGCATGAAAACTAAACGGCAAAGAAAAAAGCCGCACAAAGATTCAAAATGGCGGCCATTTTTCAAGATGGTGGACGTGGGCGCCACATTTTGGGATTGGTTTGAATCTCTTTTAACTTGTTGGTCTGATTTTTATTCAATTCAATTCAATTCAATTCAATTTTATTTTATATTTACATTAATTTTTATGGGATTAATGTTGTTTTGCTTGAAGATAAAAGTAGATAAAGAAAGATCAAAGAGGCAGGTAGCACTAATAAAAATGGAAAAGAAATGGGAAAAATCTAAAAGAGAAATAAAAGCAAACATCACTGGAAAGCGAGTCTAAAAAAGTGGGTTTTAAGAAGTGTTTTAAAAGAAGATACTGAAGATAATATGACCACATACAGGTCACACCACCAGACTGGTTCACATTAATGCTTTTTTTTCTCTTTAAAGTCCACAACACCCTGATCAGATGTAAGTTATCGTGTTAGAACAGGATAATGTGGATTCTACAAGCTAAACTCTTCACGTTTTGACACTAAATCAAAGCACATCTCTCCACAAACTCATTCTGTCGTTGGAAATGTCTGGAAAAATGGCCGCCGCTTATGGAAAAATCACATAATAGACACAATTTTTCTGCTTGTGTGACAAAGTGAAATGTGCTGCAGGTTACAGAGTGACATGATGCTGCTGGTCAGGCTGGACTGGGAGGATGGGGGTAGTGGGAGTAGTGGGAGCAGTGGGGGGAGGAGGAGGCTGTAATAAACCAGCATTTACTCCCTACATTAACACATCCCTCAGTTTAAAGCTTGGACCTGCAGCATGGAGGCCTTCAGCTGTAGGAACACGTGAAGCTTGTCGGTATAATCGAGGTTCAGGAGACGGAGCTTCCTGCTGCTCCTCTTTTATAACTCTGCCGCTGCTCTCAGAAGCCCTGAAGATGTAGGTTAGATCACACACATGGCTGCACCGGCGCCACACACACTCAGCGCGTTTGTCAAAGAGCGTTAAGTGGAGTCGAAGCCCGTAGTACAGTGTGTGCTGGCAGACACACAACAACCCACGGGGAGTCGGATCTGTGTGGCTGAAGATCCGCAGCTCGCTTTAAACCGGCACACAGCTTCTACTACACCTGACTCTGCTGCTGGATCAGGACCAAAGTCTTTACTCATCACAGCAACGTCGAAGCCTTTCCGCCTCCACAGAGCTCCTCCTTCCATCCTTCTTACATCTGTGTTCCTAGTGTCCTCGTGTTCTTCTGTCTTTCTTATTCATATTGTATTTGTAGTGTGTACACGTCTCCTCTTTAATCTATAGTCGTGTTTTCTTGCTTTTCTTTCTGTCACTTTGCTGCTGTGACGTTGCAGATTTCCCCTTTTGGGACTAATAAAGGATGTTCTGTTCTATTCTATTCTACTCTATTCTATTCTATTCTATTGAAGGATTCAAGGATTCATACCAGCTCACATTCACATGTTCGTGGTACAAAATTAGTACTCAGGTCCAGGTTTTTTTTAAAAAAGAAAAGTCTAATAAATAGTAAGTACAATAGAACAAGAGTAAAATATAAGTCAAAATACAGCAATTTAAGTGTAGAAAAAAATCTAAACATTACAGTAGAAAAGCCACAATTAGTTGTGTTTAACACTAAATATTGATTCTATTCTGTTGTATTTTCTAGAAAACCTCCTGTTTCCAGTGGCTCTCTGCTACAAGTTGATGCCGTCTTCTGTCTGCTCGCCTTTTCTTCCACTTTGTGCCGTTTTATCGATACATGATCCAGTCACACCATCTAACAGACATTATGTTAAGGAAAAAAACTTTTTATTTTTTTTCATGCGATGGTTGAGTTTGATGCTTTGCTTCCATGATATACCCTCTTAGTGGAAAACAAACATCCTGAGGTGCACATTCAGGTGTTTGTAGATGTCAGTTATAATACACATCTTTAAAGGCTGTTTTTTTTTTCTTCTTTCTCTGATGCACAAATCTCCACTCAGATCAAACTTTCCAGTTTAATTTCTGTCTGTATGATGGAGGTTTTTACAGCAGTTTGTTCTTATGTCACTTACAGCCTGATTTATGGAACATTTTAGTCCTAAAAATGGCAAAAACAGGACTTTCTGGGGCTGTTTTCCATTAATGGAGCGTAATGGAGCTACAGGAACACATCAACTAAATGGAACATGAACTTACTACATTTATATTCTGATGATGTATGCCAATTAGAGCATTTTATAAATTCATTTTCATACTTTCAGACAACTTTTAATATGAAAAACCCACTGCTTTATGATGACTGTGTGCTAACTCTGACCGTCTTCACTTTTTGATCGGAGAATGTGCTGCTTCTTAACACACACCACCACTCAGAACTATTTCATTTTGTGTATGTGTTGTGTGTGTGTGTGCTCACCCATCTGCAGCTCGTTGATGGTCTCCACCAGTGACCAGTCTGCACTATAACCACAGTGGGACTTCTCCAGTAAACTGTCCAGAACCTGCAGGACAGAAGACGCTGTCAGTTAAACCAACAGCTCAGCTGATATTTAAGAAGAGTTACTACTGATACCAATACATGAGGAGACCAAGTACTGCTGCTGCTGCTGGTACACCTGCTGAAGCTCTCACCTGTCTGACCGTCTGTCTCTCGTCCACCATCATCGTCTTGGAGCTCTCGTCTGACAAGTGGACACGAATGACCAGCTGAGGAGCAGAAGGAGGAGAGGAGCTGCTGAGTTACACCGACCAACATCACACTGACTTTAACGACGTCTGTTCACATTCAGAGGAGCTAAACGATGCAGAAACACAGCCTGAGCTTCAGGACTGAACCTGTTTCACTGTCAGGTCCTGCAGCCTGGTCCTCAGAGGAAGAACCGCTGATGGTGCACACTGAGGTTTGTGCTACAGTAAAGTGAAGCAGCACAGAGTACTACTGCAGTACACTGTGGTTCCTTGTACCAGGTGGGGTCATATAGCTGCATGCTGTGGGACCAGTCGACTGGGACATGAAGGGAAGTGGTGGTTTACTGGTACTCCATGACAAGTACGGTTCAGTGTTATGGAGTTCAGTCGTAGTAAAACGTTTTTTTCTCCAACATGCTCCAAAATCAAATCTGAAACTAGTCTAAACCAGGTCTGATTCCATGTCAACAACCAGGCCAGAAAACAGTTTAAATCAGACCTAAACCAAGTCTGTAACCAGTCTACTAAACCAGTCTAAATCAGGTGTGAAGCTAGTCTGAAGGTCTGGTCTGAAACCATTTCAAAAACCAGTCTATATTAAACCTAATCCAGGTCTGAAATAAGGTCAAGAACAGGCTAAAATCTGAACTAAAAATCTGACATAAATACAGTCTGAAACCAGGTTAAACACTGGGCTAGAAACCAGTCTAAACCAGGTCCAATACCAGGCTGAATAAAGTCCTGGACAAGTCCTAACTAAGTCTGAAGCCAGTCTGAAGAGTTTCTAAATCCGATCCACGTGTAAGGCCAGTCTGAACCAGGTACAGTACCAGGTCTGAAATTAGACCAGAAAAGCTCCTGAGTCAGACCTGAACCAGGGTTAAACCCAGCCTAGAAACGGTCCTAAAGCGGTCCTAACAACAGTCTGAACCAGGGCTCAGTGTTTCCTCCAGGATCTTTTCAGCAGCGGGGGCAGGTTCTCCGTGGCGGCGCTAACAAGTGACATTTAACTGCAGATTTGACTTTTACAACCTATTTATTGAATTCCAGTTAAAACATCATCTCTGCAGCCGTCCTGAGCAGAACCACAGCTCCCAGGAGGTCCATAAACATCTACATAAACTACCAGAGGTTACACTTCCAGAACACGTTATCACACGTTGTCTTTTTATAAACGTGCACGTTTGTGGTCTGTTTACACATTAACACGTCTCAGCCAATCACAGGACGGCGTTCGTCCCGACCACAGAGCCTCAGAGACGCGACGCCAACGTCTTCTGATGGTCGTTGTTTTATCGTTCAGCTTCCTTCAAAGTGTGCTGCAGAGCACAAACATCACTGTCACTTTTCTGGAGCTTCGAGTTGCGTCAACATACAGATGACTCGACTTAAAACACACACACTGACACACACACACACACACACACAGGTAGCTGCAGTCTGTGTAGTAAATCCAGGTTGTTAATCCGACTCTCCTCTCTGTGGGATTGAGACTCAGCTTGCAGTTGGTCATTATGCTGAGTGCTGTGTGTGTTAGTGTGTGTATCAGTGTGTGTGTCAGTGTGTATTAGTGTGTGTCAGTGTGTATATGTGTGTGTTGACCCCAGCTGTTATTGACCGGAGCGCTCAGTGTGGAGTTACACTGACCTGACCCAGAAAACTGAGTCCGCTGGACACGTGCCAGACACACACACACACACACACACACACACAGAGGCACGTGCACGCAGTCAGACACACACCACACAAACATCAACACAAACACACAACACAGTGAATGTGGTGCACAGCAGTGATTGGATTAGTCGTGTGAGTGTGGATGATAAATGACGTTCTGGGTCGTTACCGTCTCTCGTGTGTTTGGTGAATTTAAATCTTCCTCCTTGTTGCTGTGAAGTGTTGTGCAACCAGCTGTGACTGTGAGCGGACTCACCTTCTTCACCTGAGCCTCCTTGATCTTCTCCAGGGCCACCCGGATGTTCTCAGCCTTCAGCTTGGCCGCCTGCTCCTCCTGCACACAAACCACAGCCGCTCAGTCCACAGCAGCCAATCGCACCGACACAAACATTCCTGCGGCGTTCGTTTCGCTCGATCCGCATCAAAGCAGCGCGACCTGTCACCCACCTGATTCCTCCAGCAGGAATTCATGCTGAGTCCCTCAACCGGCGCTTCTGTGTCTGCTTCAAATTAAACCACAAACTTGTGTACTGATTTAAAAAAACGTCTCCAGAAAAGGCTCAGAGCGTCGCCTCCATCCGTCCTAGTTATGAATCGGCACCATGCTGATGTGAAAACACCAAACCTCAGACTTATTCCCAGAGCAGAGCTGCACCGAACACAGTCTGACTGTCACCCTGAGACCGGCTTCTCCTCCTGCTCCTCCTCATCGTCATCATCATCTCTGTTATTGTAGCTGCAGCAGATTGGATTAATGCTCGCTGAAGGAGGATTATCCAAACACACTCTTCAGCTGGAAGCCTGCGACTCTCCGCCGCTGCAGCCGGCCAACCCGAGGGTCAAAGGAGACGCCGGGGAGGTCGGACGGGTTCAAACCTGCAGCGAGACGCTTTGGTCGGCCGCACAAGAGTGATGAAGTCGACAGAGAGGAGAGAGAAGTGTGACGAGGCAGCAGAGGAGGAGGAGGAGGAGCAGGAGGATCAGACACAAACACAAGATCTGGAGCTAAAATAAAGAAACAGAAGCAAACAGGCTGCAGCTTCACCGGTCATCAGCTGATTCACTGGTCGGGCTCCGACCTCCAGCCAGTTAACCAGTTAAGCGGTTAACCAGTTAGTGGCGTTGACCGGCTGGACCTGAGGAAGGATGCTGCCTCCTCCTGTCACATCCTCTCCGGCCGAGCGAGGCAGCAGCACTGAGATGGAGAGGATGGGCTGACGGGGGGGATGGGCTGCTGCTGCTGCTGCTGCTGCTCAGACAGCCTCCATAGAAGCTGTGTTGATGTGGAGCCTCCTCACCCCTCCTCACCCCGTCTCCTCACCCAGCCTCTTTATCTGATGCCTCCTCACCAGTCTGAGTTCTCCACATGATGCTCCACTTTCATCCAACCAGCTCACACACATTCATACAAAACACTGAGGAACGAAGGGAAAGGGCAGAACAGAAATGAAGATGAGGACGAGGAGATTAGCAGCCAATCTCCTTATGGACGCCCCCGGATCCCCGCCGATGTAAACTCTGGAATCAGCAGCAGCAGCAGCATAAGCTCACGGCGGCTCCATAATGACGACCCTATGCTTTGTTCATCAGCCGGCTCCAGATTAGAGCGCCGAGGGGTTAAAGTGGCACAAATAATGTTGAACTGGGGCAGGACTATCTGCCACCAGGAACTGAACTACAACCGTTATTATTTTAATCAAGTGTTTGAAACGAAAGTTTATATTTTAATCGCATCATTTAGATTTATTAGCAGAATGCAGTGTTTGATCCTCAGTATGATCCATGTCTGTGTGCTTCCTGTTCAGTTTTACTTCTTTTTATTCAACTTCAGCACTCAGTTTAAATTTAATTCACTCAGACTAGCAGCCGTATGAGCAGAAAGACGTGTTACTACGACATGAAATCAAATTATTAATCATGGAATAGTTCTGTCTGCATTTTTGCAAATAAGCGTTATATTTGAATTAAATATTTTCAAAGCATTATGCTGACACTGAATCCAGTTGCTTTGATTTGTTGCCCTGAACACAATCAAAGCAACTGAGTTTAATTTATATATTAACAAGAATTTAGATTCAATTTCAAAAGATGCGACTCAAGTTAAAACAAACTGATTTGGAAAAGGGGGATTCAATTTAACTAAATATATATAACTGTGTGTGAAAGCCACCAAATGCCGAGTTAGTCCTGGTCTGTGGACTTTAATGGTTTAAAATCACCTGTAATTCTGTCTTTCACAGTTTATACGATGCTAACCAGCTAATGCCAACAGCTCGTTCTTCCTTCACGTGAATAATTCCTGCTGATTCTGAATCTGTACGAGGTTCTGGTCTTTAATAAATCCACATGATCGGTGTTTTCAGTGAGATTTCAGAGGCGCACTTCATCTATTATTCATCGGTTGGTACATTTTAAGAGGCCTTGACATGTTTTAATCCAGTAATTAATTCCTTAATTAGCACCACATGTGTCTTTACTGCTGTATTCTGGCTCTTTTTACTACATTTTCATTCAGACATAAAAATGCTGCTTCACATGTTTTGCAGCGCTCTGCTCTTCTCTCCTCCTGTCATCACTTCCAGCTTGCAGTTTAATCTTTTCTCTCTGCAACTCATAGATATTCCGCTGACCTATATTATAGAGCCACTAAAATTAGCTTCTGCCCAGGAAGGATCCGGCTGCCTTTGAAGTCGTGAGGAATGTGTCCCTCCTGAGCCGCCGTAGGCTGCAAACAGCAGCACTGGGAGTCAGTGGAGGCAGAAGTGGGCCAGCGGAGGGAGGCCGGCTGTAACACTGACACACAAGCACAGCTACATGCTAACTGATGTGCACGCAGCTGTTCCCTCGAAGCCGCTCTAACGAGTGCAGATAATTACGCCCTCAGCCTAATCACTGCTGCAGGAATTAGACCGGCCCCGCAGCTTGTAATCTGCCTGAATCTCAGGCCCGCCGTGGCTCCGCCCTCCTCTAATCTGGGCCGCAAATTAAAACAAAATCACGTTTCTCTTTTCGGAGGCGGCTCAGAGCGCTTTATGTCATGAATCAGCAGAGTCTTAGCTTTAACTTAGCTTGATCCACGGCAGTAAAAGCTGGATTTGAAGCCAACGGCAGCTGCTGCGAACGCAAATGGATCCTAAAAGTAAAACATTAATCTGAGCACATTCGTTTAGTGTTGATCTGCTCAGACGGATGTACAGATCCAGGAACACGTCGTCTCTATAAACACCATAATGTCTGATGAAATGGTGCAGCAGCAGTACGGAAACACAAACCAGAATTGATCAAACTGGCTTCAGCCCTCTGACAACCAACAACCATCAGCAGGTTTTAAAGGTTTGTTTCCTGTTTTGTCCAGACGACACCGTTGACTCGATCCAGAGACTCCAAAAACAAAGAATTGTCAGATTTTTAACTTTCTGATGTCCTCCAATGAATAATGAGCGACTCCATCTGGAAAAGGACAAGTCTAAGCTTGAAATTTTGATATTTAATCTAAATCACTTCATTCTATGAGTCACAATTTTTTAAAAAATCACCAAAAATGATCGATTCAGATCAGATGCTTTGATCTTTCCAGAAAAACCCAAACCTGCTGGATCAATAAACAACTGCAGCATGGATCAGAACCAGAGAACAGAGGAGCCAGCTGTTGGAGATACATTCAGCTGATGGAGGAACATCTTTCTACATCTGATGAGCAGAGAGGAGAAGTCTGGAGACGTGGAGATAGTTTAACATCTGCAGGACGAGGAGACGGCTTTATATTCTAATGCTGGTAAAAATGGAGTCTTTCTTTTTTCTATTTTTGGGATTTCTGTCTTTCTAACTTTGTCATACTGGCTGTAAAACATTTTTCTCCTTCCTCATGTTCTGGTTCCACAGAGCTGCAGGACTTTATGTTGCAGAGAAACATGAAGGAACATGAAGCAAACTGCTGCTGGGAGTTCAGAGGGTCAGAAGCAGTTGATCCAAAACTGAGGAAGATATTTTTTTTCCCTCCAACCTGAAGCAGGTTTTAGAATAAAACAAGGAGGAACTTTGTGTGTTGTCATTAGAAAGAGAACCAAAGCCAAGAACTGTGAACCAGCAGCCTGCTGCCGTTTATCTGCATGGACGTGATGATATTGGGAATCAGTGGCGCTCGGCTCCAAAGCAGATTATCCTGCAGATCTGGCACACTCCTCCAACCTCCAATCAAAGGGCCTCATCTGCTTTATCATCCAATCAAATCATCACATCGCCGATCCAATCAGATAAAGCCTTCTTACTTACTCGCCATCTAATGCCCACACACACACTCACATCCACACACATTAAGAAGCCTACAGCTTTGGCTTAGGAGCAGATTCTGACCAACATCACAGTCACGAGCCACTTCCATCCAAACACATTCTTGTACATCCAGAAATAAACCTTCACTTGTCAACCAATGAGACGCACGCAAGGAATACAGGGAAATACCTGAAGGCAATAAAAGGTGCATTTAAGATAAACCAGCTGATCTCCAGCAGCGTCCTGATCCGAGCACAACAGCAACAATTAGAGCATTGCTAGTCCCATTATCAGCATTGATCCGTGTTAGCCAGAACCAGCCTCATCCGCTGAGCTCCATTACTGCCGCTGGCTCGGCGCCAACACTCACCAACAGAACAAACCGGGCTGCTTCCTCTCTGGTCGTTGCTAACGCGATAAACATCAACCTGAAACCTTCATTAGCATCCAGCAGCGTAAAGCATCTCATGTCCAGTTAAACACAGCGCGACCTTCTTCTAGAACCAGCGAGGCAGTTTGGAATAAACACGGCAGCAGAAAACGAGCAGAGACTCAGAAGTGGTGCACGATTTGATGCCAAAATATTCAATGATGAAAGCCAGCCATCTTGTTTTGGCTAACATATTAGCTAACGTTATCTTGCGAAAGCCACTGTTGTGCTAATATTGCGTTGTTTTGGCTGATGTGTTCAGTAATTTCTTTGTTTAGGCTAACATATCAGCTAACATTATCCCATTTGGACCAACATTATACACTTAAGGCTAACTTTGCGCTAATATTATTTTGTTTTAGCTAATGTAGTAGGTAACTTTCTTATTTTGGCTAGCATAGCAGCAGATCATCAAGTTTTTAAATAACATCTTGTTGAAACTATTGTAGCGTTAATATTATGCTGTTTTGGCTAACGTAGGGGTAACTTTATCATTTAGGCTAATGTCGCAGCAAATATTATCTTGTTGAGACAAACATTTCTTTAGGCTGACATTGGCACACTTTGTTTATTTTAGGCTATTGTAGTGGTTAACATGATCTTGTTTAAGCTAACATCTCACCTATCATCATTTTGTTTAGGCTAGCGTCGCCCTAACGTTATGTTGTTTTGGCTAACACATATTCACTTGAGGGTAACTTTTTCTTACTTAGGCTAATGTAGCACTAATGTTAGTTTGTTTTGGCTAACATATTGGCTAACAATATCTTCTTTAGACTTACATTACCTTGTTTAGGCTAATGTAGTGGTCAACAAGATCTTGTTTAAGCTAATGTAGCAGTTAACACTATTTCTTTAGGATAACAAATTAGCTAGTATTGTCATGGCTAATGTAGCGCCAATGGTTTGTTTAAGTTAGCGTAGTGGGTAACTTTTTGTTGTTCAGGCTAACACAGTAGCTAACATTGTCTTATCTAATGTTTATCGTTCAGTATGTTCAAATGTAAAGCTTTGTGTGTGTTAGCACAATGTGTGTGCAGCATTTTTAAAAATAAGAGTTTGGTACTGAAATACATTATTTGATTCATTTATTACTTTTGATTTAATTTGGGTATGGGTATAACAGTACGGCTGCTAGCTATTAAATTTCTGCTGTGCAATAAACTAAACTTATGCAGCGTTCAGACACAAAATCTTAAAGTTATTAATTACAAAAAAAACATTTTTTAAGGAACCCTGGACGGCAGACCTCTGCATGATCTTCCCCAATACTGATCTCTGACTTGCTGCCTTTGGCGTCATCACACATGATGATGACGGTTTGGTTTCAACAGAAGCAGACACAGAAGCGCCGATCGTCTCACTCACCTGTTTCATTACCGTTAACAGTGTCAACGTGCTCGTTACAGTTATTATCACCACAAACATCTAATTACAGTGAAGCAGCTCGATCACACAGGAAGTGTTTCAGCAGCACACCGACTTTCTTTATTCTCGTTTCAAAGGAGATTTCTATCACTGCACATCTCTGCCAATTAGAGCTGATTAGAGCAACTGTGTGTTCAGGAGGAATGCTGATATCGTTATAGTTTAATATGCACATCATACGGACGTTAGCCCTCGCTGGCTGCAAACACTGAGATTCTCACGGGTGAATAGTGAGAGCAGCAGCCTGGGACTTATGGTTCTTCGTTACATCTTTCCGGTGTGATCGGATCTGCCTTCACTTGTGCTGTTTATTCTCCATGAACAAAGCAAACCAGCTCAGTCGTCCTGTAACAAACATCAGCAGCAAACAGCAACCAGAGACAGAACAGCATCATGCTCCAGTTACACAGTAAATATTCACAAAATGACCAGATGCAGGTGAACACAGAAACAGGCAGCACGCAAAGCTTTACAGCCGACTTTACGTCAATGTTAGACGACAGTCGACCATCAGAAACAGCTTTTAAATGTAAAGGATCTAATTTAGGCTAACATAGTGCTATGGAGGGGTTGAGTTTTTCTGGTTTGGCTAACCCAGTGGCTAATGTTATCTTGTTTAGGCTGACACACTGGCTAACATTTTATCTAGACTAACGTTATCTTGTTTAGGCTAATGCAGCAGTTCACACAACTTTGTTTAGACTATGGTAGCAGTTGCAATGTATTTGTTTTGGCTAACAGAGCTAACATTATCTTGTTTAGGCTAATGTAGTGGTTTACATAACGTTGCTTAGACTAAGGTAGACTTATTTAGGCTAACATAGCACTAACATTATATTGTTTGGGTATAAGTAGTAGTTTTTTCTTAGCTTAAGCTAACTTAGTGGCTAATATCTCCTTTAGGTTAACAGTAGCGAACATTAGCTCAATAAGGCTTACATAGCAGCTAATGGTATCTTGTTTCAGCTAACGACGCAGTTAACATAACTTTGTTTAGACTTATGTGGAAGTTAAAATATTTTTAGGCTAACAAGAGGCTAACATTGTGTTGTTTAGACAACATAGTGGCCAGTAACATAGTGGCTAATGTGACCTTGTTTAAGCTAACAGGGGCTAAAGCTATCTTGTTTAGGCTAACGTCATGATAGCTTGTATCGTTAGCCGTGTGCTGCTAATTACTTCCCTCATTAAGTGTCAACGTGTTCAGCATTTTAAAATTTATTATTGAAATACATTAATTTGGTTAATTTATTATTTTGGTTTTTATTCAGATTTGGAATCTGTGGTATTTGTAACAAATAAACTGCTGCTTTAGAATAATCTGTTTGACTGTTTACTGACAACAATAACTGATGCAGCTTCTAAACATCAGCGCTCACAGTTTCTAACCAATGTAAAGTATTTTTTAAGAAACACTCTTCATAGTTTTTTTTTCACGTCCAGTTAGTTTCTGTCTTTCAGGGTTTGAAATATTCCACAGAAAGACAAACCAAACGCTGTGACTGACGGGATACATGTTTGTATCGGAGTCTCTGTAAAGCTTTGAGATCAGACTGCAACAGAACTACAACACAAACTGCTGCCTGCACAGATGGAGACGGTGAAGAAGGAGGTGGAAGAAGAGGAGCTGACATGCAAACCGGACGTGACTCTGCAAACATGGTCCACATGCATGTACGTTCACTCATGCATGAAAGGTGAAGGCGAGGTGGATGCAGCATGCGGGGGGTAGGAGGGGAGAGGGGGGGCGTCACCTTTGTCAGCAGGTGGGAAGGTTTTCCTGCTATGTTTCTCAGAATCAGAGAGGTTTCCCTGTCCAGATAGGAGTGCTTTAAAGGGAGACAGAGAGAGTCGCCGTGAATTAATCTGCTGTCTGATTGGCTGGACGTGGCAGTTTAGCAGAAAGCTGTGTGGTGAAGCAGAAGTCAGCAGCAGAGAAACGTCACGGACGGATCTGTGAAGAACAACTACAGCAACAGGTTACAGTACGGATGGAGGGCTGCTGGGCGGAAGGAAAGGTTAGGAACACATCATCAGAGACTCGTCTTAGGCAGAACCCACGTCTGGTGGAGCCACCATGGATACAGAAACCAGTTCACCTTTAAACCTGCGGTGGTTCCAGTCTGGAGGTCGATCTGCTCTCAAGTGAACAAACTCTGAACAATCGCTGGTGTGACGTTCATAAAGAGAAACGCTCTACGACAGTCTCACAGAACTGAAGCCTTATTTCTGGAGGCGGGAGAACAGACGACTTATAAACAACTTGGTCCAACCTGATACAAACTGCTGAGTCCAATTTATTTAAGAACTCCTCGGTGCTGCATTTCTTTCAAATGCGTCCACTCGACTGGTTGAAGAGTCGGTACGATTTCAGTCCACTGAGATAATCTTTGGTTGAATCGACCCCTGAGTGGAGTGGGGACTCCAGAAACATCTAGAACCTACTGGAGGTCCACGCCACCACAGAGGCGTGTCCCAGAACATTTCTGAACCACCTGCTGATATCCCTGTTGGCTGCTGGAGCTGAGGAATCCTGATTTCATAAAAGGGACGGAACCTCATTGGACCTGAGGTTGGACGTGATTGAACACTGCAGGTCTACAAGGCGGCACTAGAAGGAGCGAGGGCTAAAGTTCTTGTAGCAAATGCAAAAAAAGTGTTGGGTTCAGTTGATCTGGTTCTGTGGGGGACTGACAACTTCATCCATAAATGAAAACTGCATCAAGCGGTTCTTGTCCAGTTTGTGTTTCTCATTTTCTTTCCCCCTGATGGTAAATGTTGATCTAAAATCAGGCTCAGAGGCTCCTGACTGCAGAACAAGCAGCTCGTTTCTCCAGTGGAACACATTTTAGGAGCTTGTACTATTTTTTGACTCGGCGATCATCGAGTCCATCTCTGCTCGTCTCCATCTTGGCAGCTTCACTCCCCCGAACTATCAGCTGATCCAACAATGAATCCAAGAGGTGGATCTGAGGCTGCCCTCCACTGTAGTTATGCAGAACTTTAAACCTTGAACCAGGTTAAACAGGTGACATGTAAAGATCCACCTCCTGAAACATCATCTGTAGAGACCAAAACCTCTGTCGCTGAAGGCTGCAAACGTGTTTATTTTGAACATTTTAACGTGGAGGTTTCATGGAGGATTGACTTGTTTTTGGAGCCTCTAGTGGACGTTTGATGAACTGCAGCCTTTGCTCTTCGTGCTGGAGGCTTTGACTTCCACCCGGGAACGAACAGCTTGTGGACGTTTCCTGACACTGTGGAGCAGCGAACACACTGACGGAGACACCAGGCTGCTGAACGGTTTGATCTCCAGACCTTCAGCGCGGCTCAGAGCTCACCTGCTCCTGATTCATTTTCCTAATGCTGACCTCAGATCACAGCAGTCGCCACTAATTTCATTTTCCAGGCTTTAAGCAGCGGTTTCAGCCTCCGACACCTGTCTGCTAACTGGGATTATGCTGCTGTTGTTTCAGCAGATTAAGAGCCGATTACCAGCATCAGACACAATCACGGGAACAATGACGGGCATTCATGCAGCTTCTGAGCGGCCGACTACCAGGAAGGATGTGGAGGAGCGTCTGAGGACAGAAAACATCTTGTGATGCCGCTCAGACTGAAGCAACAAAAGCAGATGTTTCCCACAGCTGCACACCAGCAGCAGGTTTTCTGCAGCAGCTTCCTGCTCCTTTTGTTTCTTGTTTGAGGGTCTGCAGCAGCGTGGTTTCTGTTCTCCTTGTTCTGACAGTTCCTGCTGCTCCAGGCTGCGTCTTCGCCTCTTTATCATCTCAGCGGCTGTTTTTCTTTCCCACAATGCACTAAAGAGACAAACGTGGACGTGACCTTCCCTGAATCATCTGTGGACAGACGCGTTCTGACAGAATGTGACGATTATAAAACACAAAAAGAGCTTTTATCAGTTAGTAGGACATTTTATGAGGCGTTTCTAAGCTGTAAAGAGCATTTATATGGAGTCCCTGTTTTATTTCTGAGCCCAGCGTCTGCTGAGGGAGTTTAACCCTGAACCTCAACACGAAACGAGCTGCAAACACAAACCCTGTTCGGCGATGTGAGACGAAAAAGAATAACTCTAAAAGCTAAAGAAGAAGTGAAGACGCTGCGACAGAAACCAAAGTGTTAATGAGTCCGACTCATTAGAAACTGGAACTGCTGAGTCGTCTCTCCTTCACACTCGCTCTGAGTCAGTAAAAATAAACTAAATCCCCATTGAATTCTGGCCGTCGTCCTCTGGAGGAACAAAGGTTTTGTCAGACGTGAGCCTTTCTGATGCTGCGTCCAGATCGCTGCCACCAAAAGCAGATTCACTGTTTCTCAGCCAGTCTGGAAGCCGAGGACACAAAGTCTCTCGTCTTTAGCAGCAGGACGACAGAACGGACAGGAAAAGGTCCGCAGAGTTCACTGACTAACAAGCAGGAGAGTCGGTGGCAGCAAATAACACACTGATTCCTACCAGCTACCACCAGACGCTGGCTAACTTAGCTTAGCATAAAGTCTGTTAGCCTGGCACCATTCAGAGGGAATGAAATCCACCTGCCAGCAGCTCATTAATAAATAAAGTGTAAATTAGTAAAGGACGTCACTTTCCAGACTTTTTCCAGATATGAGAGCGGTTCTAGTTCAGAATTAGCTGCAGAGCTTTTTGAAATGCGCCGTCTGAGGAGGAAGATGTTAAAACGGGACAGAAAACACAAACAACCGACACCTGACAGCGTTTACGAACAGAGCCGGGCTGGACAGTTAATCCAAATGCTGCACAAATCTCAATACGTCCAGACCACAGCGGCGGCCATTTGTTTGGCTAAAGGTCAAACGCACCGCGACATAAACGAAGCCCCGTGAAGCTACGAGGTGCTCCGACCTCCACATCACGTTCCACTGACGTAAAGACTCACATCATCACTTTTATATTCATGTCAGCGGAAAAGAAATGCGAGAATATTCTCTAAAATCCTGCCTCGTGTGGCAATCTGTCAATCTAAATAACAATAATGTAGTTTTTATGTTTTTGTACATACAGCAAAGATGATGCAATAGAAGGAAAACACAGTATATTGGTTCATTCACTTTTAACCAGATTTATAGTAAAATAAATGGAGACCAAAGGTTCTTACAGCTGCAAAAAACATCTTTGTAGAACCTTCTAAGTGCAGCTTTTAAACAAGCTCCTGCTCCAGGGAAAGTACTTCAAGTTCCGTTTTCCTCTTTTCAAACATCACCGTTAACTTAAACTCACCACACAGACGCTCTGTTGTTGTATTTCTGGTGTGACGTCTAATATTTACTATCGGTGGGTGTTCTGCTCAGAGTTAACGCTGAAGCTGTTGGATTCTGGACGCCAGTAAAACCATGAACACTGCTCCGAGAAGTGTCGAGTCTCAGCTTCACCAGAAGACAAATGAGCTCTGGAGATACTTTTAGATTTTTATTTTCCTTTTTTTTTTTAAGTTTTGGTTAAAAATCTAAACAGACAAAACAGCTATTTACTGCATTTTCCTGAAATATTGCAGATATGATGATCAATAATGTCCCAATAAGCTCAGATTGAGTCCACACTGATACAGATATTTTACAAAGCTAGCACGTTCTTCAGCCACATCCTCTGCACACAAACAGACCTCTGAGTCACTCAAACAGATATTTTCCATCTCTGGTTCGTGTGAATCCTGTAAAACTGAGAGTTTGTTGTCTGTTGTTGCTTCAGAGGACACACACCAGATTCTTAGCAGTAAAATGTGTCTAACATTAGTTCCTTCACAACATCTGCAGTTTGAAACGACAAACTGACAGAATGCTCTTCTCTGGTATTTGATGTAAAGCTGGTGTAGACGGGCTGAGGTGTGATTTAGATGTTTTGTAAATCGATGGACAGATTTAATTTAGGAAAACATCCCATAATATTGAGGCCTTAAGCCCACAGCTAGAACCTAAATCTGTGCATCTGGACCTACAGAACCTCTAATCTTCAGCCTCTCCGTGCAGCAGCTCCATCCTGAGACGTGGCCGCTCAGATCTTGGCCGGAGGGAAAAGCCGCCGGCCGTAATCGCGCGCGTTTGTGTGCATTTGACCTAAATATCATTTTTAATCTGCGGTTGTCAAGAGAGAACTAATGCTTTCTACAAAACGGTTTCTAGTGATTGAAGCAAACACACACTCATGAGATTACTAATGACGAGGACGACGCGTCGCTCAGAAACACAGCAGATATCTGCGTTCCCAAACAAGAACACTGAGACTGTGGGAGGGTTCAGGATCAGACCATCAGAGAGGGGCTGAAAGAAGCAGCTCCTTGTTCGGGATGAGTCACAGGATTATATAAACCTCGCTGAGCCACGGATCTGTGTCTGTCTGCACAGTTCACATTGTCAGGAAATATGAGTAATATAGTAAATAATTTAGCAAATGAATAATTAATAGCATTCTGTCTGGCGTCCCGCTGCCTGTCTCCACACGCTGAACCCCGCAGCACAGCGACTGTACGCCACTGTCTTTCTCTTTGAATTATTTAACCTTTATTTCCCAGAGAAACGTTCGCAGTTCGCTCTATTTCCCTCCAGTCAGACGTGGAGTAAAAAACCTTGTGTGCGTGTCGCGGCTGTTTCTATCAGTCTGTGTGTTGTTGCCCAGAATCAGCAGGACAGTTTGGAGTCTGTCGAACTGATTTGGCTCCACCGAAGCATTTGGCAGCTTTTCTGCTCTTCGTGAAAACCTCCAGTACAGTCCACAGTCCTGGCAGCGGAGGGACGGTTTCCGTTGAACTCTTTCCATCAGTCATCACTTTGACTCTCGTACGTCTGGAAAAGCTGCATCAACGGCATCTCCTGGCTTCGTGTGTCAAAACAAACAAGGTTGCTGCAGCTTCCAGAAGACGTGAAGCCAAACTGCAGTTCGTCAAAACGTCCACTTGAGGCTCCAAAAGCGAGTCAATCCTCCACAGAGCCCCACGTTGAAATGTTTGAATTTACAGCAGGAATAAAGACGTTTGCAGCCTTCAGCGACGAAGGTTTTGGTCTCTACAGCGGATGTTTCTGTTCATGACGACTGCACAGGAGGTGGATCTTTACATGTCACCTGTTTAGCCTGTTTTAAGGTTTAAAGTTCTGCATAACTACAGTGGATGGCAGCCTCAGATCCACCTCTTCTCTTATTTTTGGATTAGTTGGTAGCTGATGGAGACAACCAGAGCTTCAAAGCTGCTCTGTTCAAACGATCTGTGGCTGAACAATCAAAGATTTTTCTCATCTTGTGTCTTTTCCTAAAAGCGTTTCCTCAGCCTTGATGGAAAGCGTCCTGATGTGAAGCAGAATTCATGAGGACAAAGAAAAAGCTTCCAGATAATGTGAGAGTGGCTAACATGTGGAGTTTCACTAGAATCTGTTTATTTTGCTTCCTTAATTCCAACATTATTATTCTGATCTTAGCTCCTCGTCTCTCATTCAACTGTTTTGGTGTTTATTAGTCTTTAAATCCTGAACATGTTTCATCAGCTGTCCATAAAACAAAAGTTTGATGAATCGATGTTTAAAGACTCTGACGGTCACGTAGTCGTGTGACAGCAGAGGCTGCGGATGTCGGATCACTTTTAAAGGAATTGTGGGACGATTTTATCTAACGTTCTTCATAAAGGTTGGACCAGTGGATCTGATGCTGAAGGAGAAAAGGAAGAAAGGATTTAGAGGATTCAACCAGAGTTTATCTTCAGTGGACGTCAGATTTGGAGACAGAGTTTGTTGTTTCTTTAACTTCAGGGCTTGAAGAGGTTTTAGACCAATAGGATCCCTCCAGCAGCAAAATATAGATATTTTTTTTTAACCTGTTTAATCAGAAAAAACAGGAACATGCAGAGATTTCTGGCACATAAAGAGCACAGACTCATGATTGTTGTGCCTAATCCCCTCCAGAGTCTCATTCTGAGCAGGAAAAGCCCTGATTTTAAACATACGTCAGCAGAAACATCTCGTATTCCTCGTTAACACGGTGAGCACCAGCCAACACAGATCATGGAGTTTAGCTTCACCACTTCCAGGTCGTACCTCGGTGACTTGGTGACTCTGACCGGCTCCTTCGGCTGACGGCTGCCCACCGTCGGACTCGGACCGGAGGACGCTGTCCAGCGAGTCCATGGAGGAGGCCGAGTTCACCGAGACTCCGGAGGCCGAGGTGACGGAGGAGCGAGACGACTGGACGATGGAGCGCACCTGGAGAGGAACGACGGGAAACAGAGCAGGTTGGTCGACTGAAAACCAGACGAACGAAGCTCCACGAGCTCATAAAGCAACCTGATAGCAAGGTTACTACATTTCAACATCTTTTGAAGCCTGAACAGCATCAGAAACTCAGTTCAGCTGAATCATTCGGCACCAGATCACAGCAGACGTCGTCTGAGGACACTTATTATATTACAGAGAGAAACTGCTGTTAATTAGCTGCAGCTGATTAAATCTGCTTGTGATTTGAAGAACCTGTTTAAATTTTTAAAAAAGCCCAAGGTGAGAAATAGATCCGAGTTTCAGTCTCTATCCACAGATTAATTGTATTTAACTGTAACAAAAACGCAGCATAAAAATGAAATCATGTGTTTCAAAGAGCCATCCACAGGTAGATGATGATGTATTTGAGGTTAAGGAATGCTAATGGTGAAGTAGACAGAAGTCTGGATTCCAACCAGGTGTCTCAGGAGGTAAACAGAAGAGTTTCTCATCTACAGACATTTAAATGCAAAACAAGCAGCTTTATAAAACAGTGAAGGAACCAAACTGCAGAATAACGATGTTTAAAATGTGTTCTAGCAGCTCAGCTTCATGTTCTGATTTGTTTCATCCTTTACGAGTGAAGTTCACTCATGAAGTCCTTCTTTATCTTCACTGTCTGACTGTCGGCACCTCTAAGCTCGTATTCTTCAGAACCACCCAGACGATAACACTCACTGTGAAGCTGTTCAGATAAAAACTGTCTAGAATCTGGAAACATCAGAACCATGATGTTGAGGAAATGGTTTCATTCATTCGTCTTTCTGCATCACCAGAACGTGTTTTGAGCCTTTTGGGATAAACTTTAAACACATTTTTTATCCCTGAACTGCGTCAGTGAAGACGGTGAATTCACCTCGTGGTCGCTGACGGTGCCGACCGATCCGGTTCTCCGGTGCTGGCGCTGAGAGGTCCCGGGTCGCCGCATGGTGGCCGACGTGTAGGAGGAGGCGGAGCTTAGGGAGTGGGAGGACGTCTGACGGGCGGCTTCGTCCATGCTGAGGGACGCCTGCAGCAGACGGAGGACGGATCATTTATTGTTATTAGTGTTCAGACAGGAAACATGGATCAGAAAAACTAATCATCAGTCACATGTGACGCAGGAGCTGTGAGATGTAACGCTGAAGCTCAGATTTGCTCTGATCAGGACTCTCTTCTTTCCAGATTCAGTCGGTCTGATCAGGTTTCTGGGAGGCAACATGAGCTTTGGATTGTTGTGATACTAAAAGCTGTGTTTGCAGTCAGCAGAGTGAATGACAGTAACTGATAGTAGAAACCGACAGAGAAGCTTGATGTGACTTTAGATCAGTTACCGCTGGCCGACACCTGATAAACAATCAGAGTGAATAAAGACCAGCAGCAGAAACCTGTCACATGTATTTAACTCCTTCAGTCTGTTGTTTCAAACCTTCTCCAGCTGAGCCGTGATGTCGTCCAGGCTGAAGTTAGACGCCAGCGCTGGTCTCCCATGATGCCCGGTCGGAGCTCTGATGGTTCCGGCCGGTGAAGCTCTGGTGCTGCTGCTGCTGCTACTCGCTCCACTGCTGCCGCCACCACCGCCGCCGACGCTGTTGCTGCCGCCGCCGGCTGGCTGCTGCCGGCTGCTGCGACCTGCTGGAGGCTTCTGACGAACCTGCAGACGGCGAGACGGAGGAGAAGGTCTGAAGTCACCAAGAAGGTTTCAGAAGAACAGCTTCACGTGTAACTAAGAACAGCTCGTCCTAATTTACTGTAAATACTAAATGAACTAACGGTGAGACGAGGTGGTGTGTCTGGGGAGGATATTCGGTTTCATAAAAACCCTGCTACATGTGGACAAGGCCTAAGAACCTCCTAAGACTATCGATTCTGGACGCTGCTGGACAATAAACTGAACTGGGGCCGGACCGGATCGCTGCAGGTGTCGGTACCTTGGTGTCGGTCAGACCCAGGCGGGCCAGGCTGTTGGGTTTGGTGTTGATGGTGCTGAGCTCCTGCTCGATGGAGCAGAGATCCGCCATGAGAGCGTCCAGGTCCACGTTCTCGCCCTGATTCAAGGCCTCTGTGGACGGACAGACAGCAGGACGTTAGACACGGAGGACAAACAGAAGAGCGGCCGTGATGTAAACAACAACCGGGTCGGACCGTTGATGTTGTAGATGGAGAATCTGTAGGAGAAGTTGGCCATGTTGGTCTCCTGTCTGAGGGGAGCCTTCTGCTGAGGAGGACGCTCTGGACGACCGTCATCGAGGCTCTGGACGGAGGAGGAACCAACACAGAGATCAGCTTCAAAGGGAACCGACAGACTCCTGCTTTATTACTGATAAACCAGATGAAGCTCTGCTGGATCACCTGAGTTACCTGAGTGAGCTTATCCAGCTCCCCCAGCCAGGCTCCAAACATCTTGTCCAGGTCCTGGTCCTCCTTATCGCTGTCCTCCTCCTCCTCCTCGTCCTCTCTCACCTCCACCTCCTCGTCGGACACCTGCTCCATCTGAAGAAGAAGAAGAAGAAGAAGAAGAAGAAGAAGAGGTTATTTATGAACTGTCTGCAGTTTGATCTGTCAGCTCCATCTAGTGGCCAGCAACCCAAACTACACTGCAGCTTCTTCAGCAGCTTCTTCAACGTTCAGAAGCTGCAACACAACTTCAAAATGCCATAAACAGACTGAATCAGAATTTAGCAGTAAAAGAACCACGTTTATTTATTCAATCTTTACTTTAAAGATCTCTGAGGAGCCTCCATCTGTTTAATGACATCGAGTCAAAATACAAACAAAGATGAACAACAAAAAGATGCACCGACAAAGAAAAGGCATCAAATGTCCCGTTTAGAGGATAATTTATTAGAACATGAGTTAAACACTACTTTACTTTGTCAGTGCTCTGCTGCGTCGTTCTCCTCCTCCACCACATTAATCTGATCAATTCACTTACTTTGAAGATTCTGTTCAATCAGCAAAACATAGAAGTATTATCGTTATTAGATTATTGATCTCCAGCAGAAAACAAAGTCAATAAAATCTGATTTGTCTTTACCAGCTACTACATCAATAAATATAAGCCTATAATATAATCCATATAAAACAGACCATTCTGCATGATGAGGACTTTAACTTGTATGAGAGTATTTCTAAGTCCGGTGCACAGATCTGTGTAGATCCAGAAAATAAAGAGTAAAACAGTCAGCACCAGAACATTCAGACCGTCTTGCTCTTCGACCTTTTGTCTCTTTTGTCTGTTTTTAAATGACCAAAAAACAACAACACAAAGACTTGAGTCTGGACGTTAACAGGGTCAGAGGGATCGAGCTGCTTTCTGGACCTTTCGCTGTGTTTGCTCTAAAAATAATCGTCATGAACGTGATTTACAGCAAAACAGTCCCAGAAGCTGCAGAGTGAAAGCAGGCGAAAGCTTCGGACCGATCAGCGGAGCGTCTGAGAGCCAGTCAACACGCTGCTGCTGTGATTAACGACCACAACAACCAGCTCTCTGCTCACAGACGCAAAGACACACAGCAGCTGCCCGATTGTGCCGACGACCAGCAGCCGATGATTTCTCTTCAGCGCATGAGGTCACAGGCTTTCTGATGATTTATCAAACCAGAAAACGAGGAGGTGGAACCAAACGAAGATTAATCAGCAAATGAAAATGATCCACTGACGGCTCTGTGCGGGAAACACAAACTGATTTACAGCCGTAGATAGAATTACTGATGATCACAGACATGTTGGACGTAAACTCTGCGTCCACGCGGTACAGAACCTAGCGTGTCGCCGTCATGTGCAACACGTGCAGCGGCAGTCACGTGACCGAGTGACGTCACCAACATCAGGATCTGCGCGACAGATGTTCTGTGACCGCTGGCAGGTGCACATCTGAGAACTCTCCGAGGAGCTCAGACTGGAGCAGGAATCAGGCGTCAGCAGGAAGTTGTTCAGGGCAGGAGCTGGACGTTTAAAGAATCTATCAGCTGATGAACCACAACAGTGACAAACAGGAGCTACTGGACAGAACGGTGGAGGTTTGTTTGGTGAAGTTCATGTTGTTGAGAAGACTGAAACCAGAAGTTTACATCCACTGTAGAAAAAGACACAGAACCTTTTTTTTTTTTCTCACTGTCTGACATTAAGTCAAACTTTTCCTGTTTCAGGTCAGTCAGGATCACCAACATTATTTCTATTTGCTAAACAACAGAATAATGAGAGAGAGAATTTTTTATTACTTTCTCCAAAGTCAGAAGTTTACATCCACTAAGATGCCTTCAGACTATTTGGGAAAGCCCAGATGATGATGTCATGGCTTTGGAAGCTTCTGATTGGTTAATTGACAACATGTGAGTTAATTGGAGGCACACCTGTGGATGTATTATAAGGCTCACCTCAAACACACTGCTTCCTTTGGTGACAACATGGAAAATCTAAAGAAACCAGCCAAGATATCAGGAGGAGAACTGTGGACCTCCACAAGTCTGGTTCATCCTTGGAGCCAATTTCCAGATGCCTGAAGGTTCCACGTTCATCTGTTCAGACAGTTCTATCAAGTATAACCACCATGGGAATGTCCAGCCATCATAGGCTCAGGAAGGAGACGGTTCTGTGTCCCAGAGATGAAGTGTTCTGGTTGAAATGTGTGAATCAACCCCAGAACAGAAGCTAAAGACCTTGTGAAGATGCTGGTGAAGCTGGTCAGAGAGTCATTATCCACAGTGGAACCAGTCCTGTACCCACATGGGCTGGAAGGCTGCTCAGAGAGGAAGAAGACATCACTCCAGAAGAAACATAGAAAAGACAGATTACAGTTTGTAGATGCACACAGGGACAAAGAGCTTCATCAGTGGAGACATGTCCTGTGGTCTGATGGAACTAAACCTGAACTGTTTGGCCTTAATGACCATCGGTACATCTGGAGGAAAAAGGAGGAAGCTTGAAGCCTGAGAACACCATCCCAGCTGTGGAGCACGGGGGTGGCAGCATCATGCTGTGGAGGGACTGGTGACCTTCACACAATAGATGGCATCATGAGGAAAGAACATGATGTGGAGATATTGAAGCAACATCTCCAGACATCAGCAGGAAGTTAAAGCTTGGACACTAATGGGTCCTTTTTCTTGGCCAAAACAAAGCTACATGTTTGTGTCTTACACGCTACGTTTATCTCCCTGTGACTTCCTTCTCGTCCATAAAATGAGATTCAAGTTGAAGTATTAATGCAGTCGGACCTCCAGGGAGCGTTACTGGTGCTGCAGGAGCACTGGGAGCAGAGCAGCGCTGCACGAGGAGGAGACTCTGAAGAAGATGGAAGAAAAACCAGGAACAGTTTTTGATTTTTATAGGATTTGAGTAAATATTTAGGTACAGCCAGAAGATAGCGTAGCGCACAGCTTGACTGCCACGTTGTGATCGGTTCAATCAGGACAACAAACACACCAGTGGAGTTATTTTGCTGTTTTTCGGTGAGGAGCAGTGACCTACTTGAGCAGCCTCACAGCGTCTGTATGGATTAAACTAATTAAATATGACGGGTTAATTAGTGAGCTGGAGGCTAAGTTTGTTATTGTCGGGCAGAACCAGTTTTCTGCTGTTTTCACTTTATTTTGCTATGCTAAGCTAAGCTACGCTAAGCGACTGCTGTCTCTGGCTTCACACTGAACCGACAGACTAACAGAGGTGTTGCTCTTATCCACAGTAATTCTCAGAAACTCCGACTGTCATTGTTTTGTCATTTTAAACTCCGTAGACGTCTTTTGTCCGACTGTAAATAATATTTTTAGTGATTCTCTGATTCGTATTTAGGGGCCCACGTGGATTTATCTGTTGCAGGACGACTAATTAACTTCTCTTATCGCGTAGAACCTCGTTAGCTTGAGAGCAAAACTGAGCCTCCGGATATCAGCGAGCAGTTTCTAGCGACTGCGGTCTAGTTTCTTGTCGTCTTGACTTCCTGATCAATAATTTGATCGGTCCCATCGCTTCCCTCCATTTAATCCCTGAGTGCCTCTGCTCCCTCTCCTCCACCCAGACGACCCTGCAGCGTCGCCCACAGCTCGGGGAGCTATTCCTGGGTAGCTGCTCAGCCGTCGCCCCCCTCTGGGGAGATGGAGCTAGCCAACACACACACACACACACACACACACACACACACACACATAGAAAAACACACCACAAAAACACACACATGGAGGAGCAGCGCTACAATTAGATCCCTGTGGTTGCAAAGTCTGTCATTTAGACTGCAGGATAGAGTGTGTGTGTGTGTGTGTGTGTGTGTGGTTTGTGCGACGCTGTGGGACCAGAGGATCATTGTGAAAACTCTCACAGCTGCGCTCTCGTACAACAATCTGCCGAAGGTTCGGTTCAGACCAACAGATGAACCTTTTTTCCGTCGAACCGTTTGGGAAATTTAAACGAGACGAAGATTCGCTTCGTCCGATCCAGCCGTCGCTGCAGCCTTCAGAGCTTCCAGCTTCATAAAACTGTCCTGAGATTATCAACC